GGCGCCCACGTGGCCCTCGCCGGGGTCCTGAGAGCCGGCACCGGGTCAGCCGAGGTCCTTCCCCCACAGCTCAATTTTCCTGACTTTACATTCATGCCCTTCTTTGCTTTCTCACCTCGTTATCTCTCTTTTTCCTTATCCGCTGCTGGCATGCTTTAGCTGTAATCCCAAACCACGGGCAACCCCCGGGCACGTCCCCGGCCCGGCCCCCAGGACATTTTCCGGTCGTGCGGGCAGAAACGATCCCTCTCCTCACCTGGGTTTTCGTAGTTACAGAAACAGCCTCCTCTTTAATCTCTGCTACTAGCAGATTTTGGTCAAAGGCTAACAGAGGTCAGGATTAATTTTTTCCCCCTCCCTAAAGAAGTCAGGTTTCTTAAGCTACATTCCTCCTTTAAACCGAACACGGAGCTAGCTCTTATTTATCACTTTCTCTTTAATCATCAGCAGAAGAAAAATTTGCTGTGAACGCCCGGAATCCCTGACAGAGATCACACTTCTCCTTTGCACGAATCAAAGTTATCTGCTCCCGTTATATCCTCCACTTCAAATGAATCATAAGCCTCCATCCCACTGAGCTTTCTCGGGACACTGGTTCAGCACAGACGAGAACAATACACTTTCCACCTAAAGAGTTCAGGCTGTCAGAAGCCTGTCCGGCTGATAGCACTGAGCAACGTCCTATCCTTCAAACGCATTTTTACTGCCTTTCCACCTCCCTAGCGCACGACAAACAGAAGTCAGAGAGCAGCGAAGAGATTTATCAGAGAGATATGAGTGGTGATTACATGTTCTGTCAATAATTAATCGAATTATGTCCGCAGCATAATGACATACAGTCCTCTAGCCGCGAGGGGAAAAGAAAGAAGGAAGTTGTGGTGTGGTCGGAGGGGGATCTCAGGACATGGTTCCAGTCATTAAAAATGTGATGTAACCTCGCAATCTGGTGTATTCTGAGGCACAACTGGGGAAACATAGACGAAACCAACTGCTAAAATACTATTTGCTTTACAGCAGGGAGACAGCGAAAGCACTTGCTTTGTTCGTTAGTTGTTTTCATTACTACTTTCTGCTGGGGATTTAAAGGTGTTTTACGATGAACAGACCAGAGGTCTTACTCATTTGATCTGTAAGCTTTATGTTGTAGGTTTCGTACTGTTCACCACAAACTGACTAATTTTGATGCTTCTGATGTTTGAAATAAAAACTAAAATCAGTCCAGCAAGGCATCATATATCCAACACAAATCTAGAAATGACACTTTCAAATAAACTTGCAAGCAAATCCTCACTCTGACACTAATTTTTCTGTATTTCTTCCAGTCAGAAGGGAGATCATCATATCATTATTAATTTATTATTTACTAAGAGCTGTTAGAGTGCTCTTTTAGTACACAAATGCAAGAAAACAAAGGGCTTGATTCAGTTCTCACACGAGTTTTGCACTGGTGTAACTTCAATGACACAGGTGTAGTCACTTCAGGACCACCTGGGTGTAATTACGATCAAATCTGGGCTATCGCACTTCCTTTGCTTTTCTAATGGTTCAAAACCTCTATTTTTCTACAGCACGCTGCGGAAGACAGACAGCTGTTTGAATACAGAGCTCAAAAAGCATTCTCAAGTTCCTCCTCACTCCCAGTGCCAGTGTCCCAAACACGGCCCAAACTCCGTCACATCAGCACATTTCCTGACGGTTCCGCACCCTCCCTACAGCCCGAGAGCTGTAAACCCCATCGATACGCGTTCCCTTCCACTTGCTAAGGCACATCCTCTCGCTGTCCTGAGCTTTAAATCAGGTAGCTTTTCATTATAAATGCTTTTAAGCATCCAGCTGCCAAAAAGGAATTTGACACCTGCTTCCTTCTTTGCAAATTTCTCTTTTCAGAGAAATTCTTGACGATGCCTCTTGAAAAGGGATTCATTTATGACCTCTGCTTAATTGACTACTCCATGTATTTCTTGTCTTCTTGGCTTTCCACCTGCTTCTTCAGAGATTTTGGAAGCGGTTCACTGTGGTAAATGCACTAACAGCCAACGGCCAAAACCATCCTAACTAGAACAGTTAAAGAGTAAGCACTATTCAGTCCTTCCTGTGTGAAAATACCTTATGAGACAAGGTTAAAATCCTTCTGCTAATATGTTTTGTATAAGAAGTCTTTTCAGGGTGTAACGCTTATGCTCACAAAAGTGAGGGTCTTTCAGTCTGGTCCATGGAGTTCCTGTGCCCATCAAACATAGAAGATCAGGCCTATCTGATGTTTCCTCGCTCTTCCAAGTTAATTGCACCTTCTTGACTTTGCTTATGGAAGCATCAGTTTCCATTTCCTTTTAAGTAATAAATATCCTCCATCTCGAAGGGACCTTTAGGACGTGGCCAGGTGGAGTAAGGTAGTTCGACCTCCTACGCATCGCTCCCCCAGCGCCCAGAATTACCCTGACACAGAGGCGATCCCTGAATGTCTGATAAAGACAACACTTAAGAGCTGCAGTTCTTACTGGAGATGTTCAAGGATGAATTGGCACATGGCCCCTGGCAGAAGGGGATCCCATTATCCATTATAGAGTAGCAGGTACCACAATAAATGATAAACAGATTAAAATCTTACTGAAATCCCTAGCAAGGAGGGTAAAAGGATGATAGCAAAGCTTTCTACCTCTTCTGTGTATCTTGTCCCTCTCACCTTCTTAGGCTTATAAAGCAACCAGTGCTTGAGCAGTCTGCATTTGAGTGGACTTTCACATTCTTTCCAAGGTACCCCAGGTGGGATTTTTAGGGTCATGTTTCTATTTCCTTGGCGGCTTTTGCCTTTCTTGCCTGAAGGGTCAGTCAGGATGTACATTCCCTGCAGTAGCCAAAATTTGGCATATTTATTTAATCACTCTAGGTTTATCACGCACAGTTCCTCAAATGATGGGACGTTCTGTGGAATTTAAACAAGGTCCCACAGCACAGAACCTCGCTTCAAGTATAAAAGAGCTCTCAGAGCTTTCTCAGAGCTCATGTAACTTCATAAGCACAAATATGCCAAAGATATAGTTAGTGTCAAAGACCTGATAGTGGAAATAATTTCTAAGAATA